TGATTTAGTCTTCCTTTAATCCCAAATGCTAACTAACTGACATAAGGTCCAGGTTAATATAAACACAGAACCACTTTTCTCTAAGGACATCACCATATAAATTAGATAGTGAGCCTCTATAGTTATCTTAATAGCTTCAAAGAGAAATTGCTGGACATTCCATGCACAGGAAACAGAGCACCTGTAACTGCCCCCCTCACTAGAAGAATGCTTCCCTGTACATTTCCACAGTCAGAATACCTACAGGTAACTCTATGCTAGCTGTGTCCAATAGTATTATTTAAAGTTCTTTATTTATACTCAGGTGTCACTTAAACATTCTGGTAGTTTATATTTAGGCTGCCTCACCATTGCACATACACCACAGTGTATTCACACGGTCCTAGAAGGAATGGCTGTTACATACTAGGCTGTCTCATGTAAGTGCTTCCTACGGTCCAGCCCCATACAGCATTTCACTTAACAAGCTACCAAAATTGATCATGCATTAGGTTTGTTTGCACCACTGTCACTACAAACACTGCAATATTCCCTTTTCTATTGATAACCATTTTTATGTAGCCCATTATTATCCAAAAATATCATTGACCAAAACGTCATGTGGCACATGACTGTATATGATGTAAGACAATAATCTGCTATCTAGAACATATTGACAGGTGTTACACATTTCTTATTCTTATTGGGCTTGGACAAGTACCTTCCATTGATGACTAGGAGTTTGGTTTGTGAAATGTCAGAAAAGTATTTGGCACTTTTCCCATTATATTTTGATATTAATTTGAAGATATTACAAGTTGTTTATTGGTGATTGTTCTTGTAATTAGTAGGTTACATTTGATCTGGAATAAAGCACCAATATATTCTAATTGGTTGTCTTGGTTGTAATCACACAGGTTGAGCTCAATCCCGTGTTGCCATGTTGTGACCACCTCAATGAAATGTTGCCTATCATGAAAGCTCTTAGACTTTGTTTTCAGAGGGTTCTTTTTCTTTTTTTTAATGGATTGGCAATCATTGATCGTACATTGTATGAGTGGGACAAAATAATACAATTTCCAGAGTAAAGCAATCATTCAGCACCTTCTATGTTGCTTACCTACACTGTCAAGCACTGTGACTCTGTGTAAATGCTTAGTTTGGTGAGATCCTGTCCAAATCTTTACCTCCTTCTATCAGCTAAAGTACAACTTTGTCAGTAGGCGTTTCTCAGAATAGGTACTGACAGGAGAACTAATCTTAGGTCTCTTCTGCACATGATATAGTAAGGCTTCATTATTCCATGTATTAGTCATTCACCCTAAAAAGATCTTAGGGGTGACTCAGTAGCATGCCTGAACTAAAATTGAGAAGGAATTTTTTTTTTTTTTTCCTTCTGCTGATGCTTTCCTGATAGTTCAGTTCTTACACTGGAATGCCTGATTGGGAATTGAGTGCAGACAGAGTACAAGTTTAACAACCAAATCATAGACTGAATATTTGGAGATCACAATTGTGAGAGTATCTCACATATTAAGAATAGAGCCCTCATGCTGACTTTCTGTCCTGGCCTGCACTACATTTTTGTGGGGTATTTTAGAATTCAGTGGTCTTCGAGGATGTGGCTGTGAAGTTCACCCAAGAGGAGTGGGCTTTGCTGGAACCTTCCCAGAAGAGTCTCCACAGAGATGTGATGCAGGAAGTCCTTAGAAACCTGGCTTCTATAGGTAAGGATGATGTTTCATTACATAATCAAGGATAGAGCACCTGGGAGGATTTTTTTTTTTCCTTCATGAATTTGGAATGTGGGAAAGGGAGTACTTAAGGAAATAAATTGGGCCTAATGTCATTGCCCTCTGCAGCATAAATACCATAATCCTTTTTGCCCTCTTTTTAAATCTTTTTAAATGGTTGAAGTATAGTTGTCCAAATTGTAAATCTCATAATGCATTCTGAAATCATGATGATTCTAATGACTTTTCTGGGACTACATTTCAGGAGACACATGGGAAGACCAGAACATGGAATATCAGAATACAAATACTGAGAGAGACGTAAGGTAATTTGTACTCTTATGAGGAAACCAAGTGCTTTGAGGGAATTCTAGCTCATCCTATAATTCTACAAATAAGCAAGAAAAACAAGCATGAGATGAATTATTCTTTTTACACCAAAATGAACTTTAATGTAAGGTAATTGTTTACTGTTTTAAAAAATTATTGACTTGTTGACAATGTCAAAAAACTTCATTTATGATAGCACTGGTTAAGCAGTCTTATAAAGTAATTGTTACATTGACTTTCAAAGAGCATACAGTATAGACATAACAGAAAACCCATACTTTCCCTGATTTTGATAATATAAGTCCAAAGCCTACTAATGAATGTAAAAGTATTAATGATCCAACCCTAAATTGTGCTTATATTTTTTTCTACAGAAGTCATATGGTAGGCTCTGGAAAACTTTGAAAAGGTACTCTGTGTAAAAACCTTCAGTGAGATTCCAAATCTTAGTCTTAAAGGAACATTTCTGCTAGTCAGTTCATGTGAAAGCAATATGTGTGGACAGATCTTCACATGTCACGTTTTTCTTAATAGGCCCATCTTATCTCACTCTGCAAACAAACCATATGAGAATGAGGAGTGTGGAAGAAAGCTATATGAATGTAAAGAGAAGAGAAAATCCTCCATTTCTGTCACAAGTGTTCCATGCCACGTGTCAGAGCACACCGTAAATGGACCTAATGGAGGTCTGACATTTGGAAGAGAGTTCAGTTGTTCCAAGTGTTTTCAAAAATATCAACCATCTCATACTGGAGAGCAGCCACCTGGATGTAAGCAATGTGGAGGCACTATTACTATTTCAAATAACCTTCAAATGCATGTACAAACTCCTACTGGAGAGATCACTTACAGATGTAAACAATGTGGGAAAGCCTTCACTCATTCATATTCTCTTCAAATACATAAACAAACTCATATAAGAGATAAGTGCTATGAATGTAAAGAATGTGGTAAAGCCTTCAGTAAATTCTCCTACTTTCAAATACATAAACGAACTCACACTGGAGAGAAGCCCTATGAATGTAAACAGTGTGGTAAAGTCTGCACATGTTCCTCTGAACTTCAAGTACATGAACGAATTCATACAGGAGAGAAGCTGTATGAATGTAAGCAGTGTGGTAAAGCCTTCACTCGGGCTTTTCACTTTTACTCACATGAAAGAACTCATACTGGAGAGAAGCCCTATGAATGTGAACACTGTGCAAAAGCCTTCTGTACATCCTCTTCTCTTCATATACATATACGGATTCATACAAGAGAGAAGCCCTATGAATGTAAGCAGTGTGGGAAAGCCTTTCTTTCTTACAGTACACTTTGGAAGCATGAACAGATTCACACTGGGAAGAAGCCCCATGAATGTAAAGAATGTGGTAAAGTCTTCACTTCTTTTTATGAACTTCAAGTACATATAAGAACTCATACAGGAGAGAAGCCATATAAATGTAAGCAGTGTGGCAAAAGCTTCATTCGGTCATCTTGCCTTCATTCACATGAAAAAACTCATACTGGAGAGAAGCCCTATAAATGTAAACAATGTGCAAAAGCCTTCTCTACAT